CTCCCCCCCCCCCCCCCCCCCATCGAGAATGACCCAAACGCCCTGGTGGGCGCACTTTTTACAGCATATATATTAACGAAAGGGGGAGGGGGGGGTGGTTGGCGGGGGGGCGTGGGGAGGTTTTGCTAAGAACCCGCAGGAGCCCAGGTCGCTGTCCTGTCAGCTGGGTCTCGAGTAGGAATGAGTCAGAGTTCAGGCCGATCAGCATTGTCTGCACAGGAGCCTGCTCACTGCTCCCTGCTCAGGCAGAACTTTTGAAATGGGTGTTTTGTTTGTTTGAATTGTTTTTTTAAGGTGCTACTTTTATCATTTTTTAATATATATATATATATATTTAAAATATCTATTTATTGATTTCAGAGAGGGAGAGATTGCAACCTCAGTGATGAGAAAGAATCATTGATTGGCTGCCTCCTGCACGCCCCCGACTGGGGATCGAGCCCGCAGCCCAGGACCTCCTGGTTCATAGGTTGACTTGTTTCTTGATGATTTCTAGCTAGTAGTTCAGCCTGGGGAGAGCACGGCTCCTGACCGACGCCCTGCAGCCGCATGAACTCGTCTCACGCCCGTGCCAGTCACCCTGCTGCGACTGTGCCCTGAACGTGCTCCACAGCAGCCTGAGCACAAGTTCAGACTCAGTCTCGGGTCTTCAAGTACAAGTCATTGTCCACAGAGCGTTCAGCCTGTGACTTCTGATATTTAGAAAAACTAAGCACTAAGAGACAGAACACAAAACACTGCAGACTGCGTCGAGAATGAGCCCGCAGGCAGCTGTGAGCGAGCAGAAAGGAGCGGGGAGTCTGCTCCCAGCACGTCATCATCCACTTGGCTGTTGAGTGGCCAGATCTTCCTGCTCTTTCTTAGGTTTCGTAATAGTTGGCCCAGCATTCGCTTCTACCTCTGGGATAGGGGGAATGTCACAAATATCCTAGTAATTTGTTTTCCATCTTTCTGCACATTAACCCTTTCTTACCTGGGCACTAGCGGGTCTCACAGCAGAAGCTTCGAGCGCTGTGCACACCACGGACAGACGGGATGCATGTAGGCGCAAGAATGGGTGCCCTTTGTGAGCAAGGAGAGGGTTGGGAGCGCTGACATTGTTTTGTATTTTCAGCTCTGATCAGAGGCCTGTGGTCCCTGCATCGCGGTCCAGGTTTGCCTTCTCCGTGTCTGTGCTGGACCTTGACCTCAAGCCCTACGAGAGCATCCCGCATCAGTACAGACTGGATGGCAAGATCGTCAACTACTACTCGAAGGCTGTGCGCGCCAAAGACGCCGCCCCAGTGTCAGCCAGGTTCAAGGAGAGCGAAGACTGCACCTTAGTTCTCCATAAGGTCTAGCTTTTCTCCTGTGGTGTCTTGAAACTTGAACATGGGATGTGAAGGTTGAACGATAGCGCTTTGTGGTGGGTGACTGGCTGTGAATGTTGTTGCTTTCTAACCACTGTTCGGGGGCTGCTGCTGGGATGCAGGATGGAGGCCCCTCCCAGGGCAGGCGGGCGAGGGGGGCTGTGCATTGTGTCCTGGCACCTCGGGCAGCTTCCTTCCTACCCAAGGCTCATGTCTAACCTCTAATGCAAACGCCTGATTGTAAGACCCAACGTTTGGATCTCCTACCACCAGGCTCTTAGCACACGGAACACGGACTGTCATGTAGATCTTACAATTTGGCCTTTTAAGAAAACAGGGATCCTACTGGAACTTCCTCAGCTGAGTGGCCAGCCACACGCCAATCAGCACAGGCCTGTGGCTCCTGCAGGTGAGGGCACAGTGCAGACGGCCACCATTCTGCGTGGGATCAGCAGGGGCCACGGGACTCAGGTTGGGCAAACACATCACGTGAGCACCAACTCCTTTCCTTTCCTTTCCTGAGTGACGCCGCTCTGAACTGTGGGGACGCACCAGCCCTGTGCCTCTGCCCTGGGCCTCCCTCGGGTGTTGGGCCGCCTCTGCAGGGCTGCCGCCCGCTGGTGCAAGAGGAGTGGCCCTGCTGGCACCCCGGGCTCTTGGTGGGGCTCCCCAGGTGCCAGGCTGCTGTGAACACGCGAGTCCTGGTGGCAGGTTCACTCCATGGTCGGTTGTACAGGCTGATTATTTATAGCATCGTTTTGAGGGATTAATGAAGGCTCATTGTAATATATTATAATGTTAGTGAAACCGTGGAATTATATGAAAATGCTACATGAAATATAAGGAGAATATTTTGCTGATTGTAAATTTTTGTGGGGAAATTTTGTGATAATTTGAGAATTACACTTGTTTGAATTACGCCAGTTTTTCTAGAATTTATTCTTTAATTCTGTCATAACATTTACTTCTGTACTCAGAGGGTTGGAAAGATACTCAAGTGCTGCCCATCTTCTCCTGTTAGTGTGGGGGCAGGAGGCGTTAGACTCCACCTGCTGGACGCGCGTGGAGCTGGGGCTCACGGGTGGGACAGAGGGGGGCGGGGGGGGACGGCCCAGGCCTGTGGGGGACAGTGGGTCTCGCTGTCCCACTGCAGGTTGAAGTGCAGACTTGCTGTTTTGGGTCAAGAAGAGTGGGTGTCAGGACTGGCTGAGGGGAGGGGAGAGCCTCCCGGGGTGGAGGGGGCACAGCTGCTCCTCGTGTGTCAGGCTTTTCATTTTGTGTTTAAACAGCTGCCTGTGTTTTTTATGACCTGACAGTTGATAGATCATGTGTCACCACTGCACAGACATGTGCTGAGGGTGTGGTTTCTAAGTCGGCAGCAGCCAATGTTTCTATTCAGTAACATCCCAGGCCCCTGGCGGTGGTGGGTGGGCGCCGGGGCTTCCCTCCGTGCAGAGCAGCCTCAGCAGGCTCTCCAGAGCCGCTTCGATGCCCAGCAGGCCCAGCAGGGCCCGGAAGTGGAGAGGAGCAGCTGCGACTGCTCCCTTCCGGTCCAGCTCCAGGGCTGTAAGGAGAACACACTGGGTCAGAAACACACCGGCCGAGACCCTGCCCACCTCCCCTGTTGCTGCTGTGTCAGCCGTCAGCGCCGCCCAACCCGCAGGCACAACCCCCTCCCCACACTGTGCAGCAGCCCAGGAGGCCTGGGGCGCAGTGCCTCCACAGGTGCTTTTGGAGTGATTATTGATCAGAATATTTTTTAAAATGACATAAAAAGTACACTGAGATTTTCAGCCTTTGATTGTTGCCATGTGAACCAGGTGAAATCAGTGGGTGTCCCTGCTGGGCACTAAGACTGCAGAGCCCGCTGGCCTGCCTACCTCGCTGTGGCACTTGGGTGAGAAGATCCAGCTTCGGCAAAACCTTCCCTTCTTCATCTATGTGCATCCTCCAGACGATGACCAGCTCAAACCTGAAAGAGGTCAGAGCCGCCCCCAGGTGCCTTGAAGCGTGACTGTGCCGTGGGAAGGAGGCCCCGCCCCAGCTGAGCTGAGCTGGCTGAGCTGGCCCCTCTTAGACACTCACCCACCCTCAGGGTCAGTCCTGGACACACAGGGCCGTGGCCAGGAAGGCCTCAGGGAGGTGCTGTTGTACCCACTAATACTAGGATGACAGTACAAGTGAAGTACAGGACGTGGAACAACAGGAACTTACACTTTCCTGTGGGAAATAAGTTGGTAAACTACTTTGAAAAGAATCTGGTGGTAACAGAAAGCTGAGTCTACGCTATGGCCCAAGGGTTGCGTGTCTAGGCATATGCCCAGAGAAGCTGTGTCCGCATGGGCCCGGGACATGGACAGGTTAGACATGGTGGGAAGCAGTGAATAACCCAGATGCTCTAAGGGACACGGGCATGCACACATTCGCCCAGCAGAGTGCAAGCTGACATGGCCTCCAGCCACAGGCTCCAGCTGTGAGGGATGGACACGTTCCCTTACTACAGGGCGAGTCCCAGCAGCCTGCATAATTGTGAGGCTTGAAAACAAACCCAAACCTCGGCAGGCACTCATGCCAGTCCCCAGGCCCTCCCACCCCGGCAGATCCGCGCCCCCAGGCGCCCAGCAGAGTGAAGGCCAGGTGGTCCTCCCTCCCTCAGAGCTTGCTGACCCCTGTCCCCGATCCCTCTTCACCCACGTGCCCCTCCTCTTCTGCTGCCGTCGGTGGGTGTGCACCTGTTAGGGCGCCACAGACGTTTCTCAAGGTGTCGGCAGCTCGCACTTGCCCTCTACATTTGTAATCCTCGTTTTCACCAGGAAATACCATCTGGTTGCAGGGAAGGGACTTGGCGAGCAAGGAAGCCCGAGCCCACGGGCTGTGCACTCACCCTGGCTGGCTGGCGCTCCGGATGCTCATGCAGCTGGAGGAGGCCCCCTCGGGGAGCTGCACAGCCGCGGGGTACTTCTCCTGGGGGAGAAGGAAAATTAACTATTTTTAAATCATTTTTTATTTTTCAATTACAGTTGACAATATTATATTAGTTTCCGGTGTACACCCAGTGATTAGACGTCACATACCTAAGTGATCATCCCAATAAATCACGTACCCATTTGACACAGTTATTACAATATTATTGACTATGTGAACGTTACATTCCAGGGACTATTCTGTAACAGCCAATTTGTACATCTTAATCCTTTCACCTTTTTCACCGGGCCCCCAGCCCGTCGCAACAAACTGTTCTCTGTATCTATCATTGTGTTTCTGTTCTGCTTGTTCATTTATTTTGTTGTGTGTTTTTTCAGATTCAATTGTTGATAGATATGTATTTATTGCCATTTTATTGTTCATATTTTTTAAATCTTCTTTTCTTCTTCAAGACCCTTTAACATTTCACATTATACTGGTTTGGTGGTGATGAACTCCTTTAGCTTTTTCTTGTCTGTGAAGCTCTTTATCTGTCCTTTGATTCCAAATGATAGCTTTGTTGGGTAGAGTAATCTTGATTGTAGGTTCTTGCTTTTCATCACTTTTAATATTTCCTGCCACTCCGCCCTGACCACAAAGTTTCTGTTGAGAAATCAGCTGATATTCGTATGGGAGCTCCCTTGTAGGTGCTTTTAAGATTCTCTCTTTTAAGATTCTCTCTTTTTAACCTTTGGCCTTTAAATTATGATGTGTCTTGGTGTGGGTCTCTTTGGGTTCATCTTGTTTGGGACTCCGCTTCCTGGACTTGTAAGTCTATTTCCTTCACCAGGTTAGGGAAGTTTTCTGTCATTATTTCTTCAGATAGGTTTTCAATTTCTTGCTCCCTCTCCTCTCCTTCCAGCACCACTGTAATGTGAATGTTGGTACGCTTGAAGTTGTCCCAGAGTCTTCTTACACTATCTTCATGTTTTTGGATTTCTTTTTCTTTTTCTTTTTGCTCTTCTGATTGGGAGTTTTTTGCTTTCTGATATTCCAAATTGCTGATTTGATTCTCTGCTTTATCTGCTTTACAGTTGACTCCCTGTAAGTTATTCATTTCAGTTAGTGCCTCCTTCATTTCTGGTTGTTGTTTTTTTTATGGTTTCCATGTCTTCTTTTTAATACTGTTAAACTTATAAGTTCATTGAGCATCCTTGTAACCAGTGTGTTGAACTCTGCATCTAGTAGATTACTTGTCTCGATTTTGTCTAGTTTTTTTCCTGGAGTTTGTTGTTTTATTTGGGATATGTTTCTTTATGTCCTCATTTTGGCAGCCTCCCTGTGTTTGTTTCTATGTATTAGGTAGAGCTGCTACATCTCCCATGCTTGGTAGAGTGACCTAATGTAGGGTCCAGCGGCACAGCCTCCCCTCCAACCCATTGGGCTGTGTACACCCTCCTGTTGTAGTCGAACCTGGATTGCTGTTGGCACATTAATGGCAGGGATTTACCTTCAGGCCGATGGCTGCTATCAGTGACCACAGACCACAGGATCAGCTGTCCAGGGGCCCACCCCACAGAGCAGGACTTACTTCAGCAGGGCTCTGGTGCTCACTGAGTTTGCCCCTTGAGTGTGTTGCTTGTGGAGGTGGTTGAGCAGTGCTTCAATGTGGTTTGAAGCTGTCCACTGAGTGCGCTGACTCTGGGGCCTCCTAGGGCATCCAGGCCAAGATCAACACCATCTGTGTTCTGTCTGGGGCCATTTGGCATGAGCTTCAAAGCGATCTGCAGATGGCTGCTCCTTGTGCTGGGCTTGGATGTGCCCAGGAGAAGCCAAGCTATGAACCAAGGCTGGCTGCTGCTACTACCAGGCCTGTGGCCACTTAGCAAGAAGTCCATAGCATGCTGAGACCAAATGCTGCTTGTTTGAAGGATTTTAGTTGAGTCTGAAGCCTGAGCCAGGGACAGAGTTCATTGGTATGGAAAGAGCCACTGCAAACAGCTTGCGTGGGCCTCAGGGAATTCTCCATGGGTGAGGCGAACAGTGTGAGCCAGGCTGATGGAATTGATGGAATCTAAGATATGGCACCCATGTGCTGGCTCTGTGGGGTGAGGGCTCAGAAAAGGAACAGTGACCTCTGCCAGCACTTTTATCTGGGAGAAAACTGCCCTCCCCCCAGTCCCTTCCCTGATGCCAGACAATGTAGTTGCTCCTGTATGGCCCTGCGGCCGTTCAAGCTGCTGCCCCAGTGCTAGAGCTCAGAAGGAATGAGTCTGAGTAAGTCTGTGTGCTAGCCCTTTAAGAGGAGCTGCCTGGGTCTCCAGCAGCTTTCATGTGACTCAGCCACAAACCCCACTGGTTTTTACAGCCCAGAGTTACAGGGATTAATCTTCCCAGCACTGGAACCCTGGGCTGAGGGGTCTGGTATGGGGCTGGGACACCTTGTTCCTCAGGGGGACCTCCGCAGCCAAGATATCCCTCCCAGTTTTATCGGCCACACATGGGTGTGGGACCAGCTCATTCTGCAGTGACTCTGCCTCTCCTACTAGTCTTGATGTGGCTGCTCCTTTAAATCCCTAGTTGTAGGACTTCCATTCAGCCAGATTTCAGGCAGTTCTGAATGATGGTGGTTCTGTGGTTTAGAAGCCCCCTTATCATTTTTCCACGAGCAATCTGTGGGGCACAAGGATGCTGACCCAGGGGACTGGAAAGAAGTGGGAAACCCCTGTGAGGCGTCTCACCACTCTGAAAACCTAAGTTTCTGACATGCCAGCCCCTCATCCAGCACGCGGCATCTAGGTGCCCTGGCCACGGCGCCCGCACTCCTGCCTTCTGTGCTCCCTGGCACTGTGTTCTAGATCTTTCCACAGCCACGAGACCTCCACGCTGCCTCACTATCAACCCCCCAAGGTGAACATGTTACAGAAATTTCATTCTGATTCCTCCTGCCCTCGGAGCAGAGGCAGCCCCTCCGCCTGTCCTGCAGAGGACGGGCAGGCGGCCCCGGGGGGCCC